CTAGCCTCAAACTGACTATGCAGCTAAGTCTCCACTTTGGTCAGTGCATGTGGTGCTCTGATGGGACCCAGGGCCTCCTGTGTGCTACACTACAGGCACCCTACCCACCCAGCGACAGGCATCCTACCCACCCAGCGACAGACACCCTACCCACCCAGCGACAAGCCCCCTCCCACCCAGCGACAAGCTCTGTACTAATAGGGCCCTCTGTGTGCTGATGAAACTGAGCTTGGCTCCCTGCAGCTTTGGTCCAGGGAGCTCGGGAACTGTGAAGGTCCAGCATTTGCATTTCACCCACAGACCTGCTGAGGTCACAGGGTTCTCCAGATAAGGGAGACTTTGCCCCAGGGGACACTTGTCACAGTGTCACCATGTGGGAGCTCCTGGGAGTAAGGTCAGGAAGCTCTGCACCCTCAAGACCTGTTGACCCCAGCCCTGAGGTCCTGGTGCCCCCTGCCACCCACCGCAGAACTGGGGTGGGGTGGGAGTGGGGGGCGGGGCAGGCGGAGGGGGTGCTTGCTGCAGCTCAGGACTTCGGGTTCCACTGTTCTGTCCAGGTGGTACACTCTGACACCCAGTCTGAGACGGCCTGTAACTGAAAGCAAAGCATTCCAACAGGCGCATGCTGTCCTCCGGGCTGCAGAGCTGAGGCAGGGGGATTGCATCATCCTTGGCCACAGGGCCATGGTGGGGGGCGGTGCTCAGAGGTGTGAGGCCTGTCCCCAAAACAAACAAAACAGGAGCTAGAGAGACAGAGAGTGCTCCTGCACTGGGGTATGTGTGTGGAGTCTGTGCTCGCCATCCGCTCTGCTGGTCCTGGGGCCTGAACTCGGCTTCCCGAGCTTGTCAGTGGCACCTTAGTGGCTGAGTCACCTTCTGTCTTTGGTGGACATTACTCACCCCTCACCCATGAGAAAGAACAAAGGGCAGGAGTGCGTGATCGTGGTGATGTCATGTGGGGAGAAAGAGGCCATCACAATGCAAGGTCCCTGTCCTAAGACTTTCATCCCTCCAGCGAGAATGAAGAGCAAAGCCAAGGTTACTGAGGTCAGCGGCTATGACACACAGTGTGGAAGTCAGGGTGACAGGAATGGCCTGTGTCCTGGTGGTGGGTTAAGATGCACCTCTTAAATCTCTGTCCTAGGTGAACACAAACGATTTCACTGTATATGTAGGAGCCCTTAACAGAAGCCACTCATTAAAGGGAGTCCTTAAGAAGGGTCCCTGTTGCAGGCCTGTGGTGGCACACACCTTTAATCCCAGCACTTGAGAGGCAGCAGCAGGAGGATATCTGTGAGTTGGAAGCCAGCCTGGTCTACAGAGCAAGTTCCAGGACAGCCAGGGCTACGCAGAGAAACCCTGTGTGTGTGTGGGGGGGGGGAGAGGATTCCTGTCGTGTCCCCACAGAGAAACCCTGGGGGGAGGATTGCTGTCATCGATGTCACATCCCCCTCTGTTTTCTTTATTGACTTTTGCGGTGATTCTTTTGTTGGATGAGGAGGGGTGTCTCAGGTAGCCAAGGCTGGCCTTGAACTCACTGTGTAATCAAGGATAACCTGATCCTCCTGTGTGCTAGGGTGGAGACTCACCTCCATGCCTGCTCTAAGGTCCTCCTGTGTGACCTGGTCTTGCCAGTCTGTCTCTGTGGCCTCAGGGTCACACTGTCTCTGTGGCCTCAGGGTCACACTGTCTCTGTGGCCTCAGGGTCACACTGTCTCTGTGGCCTCAGGGTCACACTGTCTCTGTGGCCTCAGGGTCACACTGTCTCTGTGGCCATGGAGCAATCCTCCTTTGTTTGTTTATTTTTGAGACAGGGCTTCTCTGTGTAGCCCTGGAACTCCCTCTGTAGACCAGGCTGGCCTGGAACTCACAGAGATCCCCCTGCCTGTGTCTCAGGAGTGCTGGGGTTAATGGCGTTTGTGCCACTGCCACCCAGGACTATTTCCTTATCCATGAATTTTAAAACCGTGTAGCATGGCTGTCTAGAATTCCCTGTGTAGACCAGGCTGGCCTGTGCCTCTCTCTCCTGTTGGGATTGCAGGTGTGGGCCTCCGCATCCGGACCTTATTCCTCTAATCTGTGGATTTTCCCTGTGATGTCAGCGCCAGGCTGAGGGATTTACTCTAACCCTGCCTCCCATCCCACGAGATTCTCTAGGGCTGAGAATACCCCAGCCATCTTGACCAACTGCCCTTTAGGATCTCAGCTGAGTAGGAGGCCAGTTGGGTTGTGTGACGCCAGGCCACGGCTCAGCTGACAGAGCCATTAGGGGGCCCAGACACCTGGCAAGTCCCTGCTCCCCAGGGGACCCCACCTTCTCTCCCTCCCCACTCAGCATGTCGGGTTCCATGTGCGCCACCTCCGAGGGCCTCAGCAGGGCCGTGGCCAGGGATTCAGAGTCTCTTAGAATCCGAGGAACCACAAAAGGAGCGACGTGATGCCACGGGCCCCAAATAACACCAGAGACGTGTGGCTGTCATACGGAAGCTCCTGGCACAGAGCAGGTGGAGGCCAGGCGCCCAGCACAGCACCCAGTACTCCCCACGGAGTGACACCCGGGAGACCCCCGGTGACTCTGACTTCCCTTGCGCTCCTGTCACTCTGTGCTTCTGCGAGCCTCTGTCTCCGCCAAGCGTGGCTGCCATGTCACCCTCACCCAGCACACCTGAGGTGTAATTATATCTCCCCACGAGGAGAGCTAAGGCCCAGCCCTAGCTTCTGGGCCTTTGACCGCAGCTCCAGCAGCCAACCCAGTGGTGCTCCAAGAGCAAGGGCTGTCCTGACAGACCCATGCCCATGTCACCCCAACGTGCCCTGAGTTCCGTGCTACCTGTGCTGCAGTCGCTGCCAGGAGCTCTGCAGGCCCCTTTCCAGCCTCAGGTCTGTCTGTCACCCAGGCTGCCACGTGCCCAGCCTTGTGGCCCGCTGTCGGTGCTGACTGAGCCCCGCTGACTCAGCAGTGTTTGGCTGTTGTTGACTTATGTGGAGGGCATGGCTGGGCCGTGAGTCAGGGACTGGCGGGTGACACATACCTCTGCCTGGACAACAGAGGACAGCCTGCAGAGGTTCGGCAAGGGCCTGATTGGAACCTGAGCTGACCCATGAAAAGAGCGGCGGTGTACCAGGAGAGGCATGGGAGACAAAAACATGTCCAGACCTGTGTGAGGGCAAACGCAGCTGTATACACTGAGACATGCAGAGGTGTGCACATGGGCAGTGCCATCCTAGACCCCATGAGGGGGGGCACAGTCACGGGGGAGCCCTGTAGTGGCTCGTTTTCACTCTTTGGCTTTTTGAGGGACCACCACCCAGCTCCCAGTAAATCCCACAGGAGTCTCCTCAGTGCTTACAAACGCCTTGGCTTGGCTCTGGCCAGCTTTCTTTTTTTTTTTTTGGTTTTTCGAGACAGGGTTTCCCTGTGGCTTTGGAGGCTGTCCTGGAACTCGCTCGGTAGACCAGGCTGGTCTCGAACTCACAGTGATCCGCCTGCCTCTGCCTCCCAAGTGCTGGGATTAAAGGCGTGCGCCACCAACGCCCGGCTGGCCAGCTTTCTTAAACTATCCCGTCTGCCTTTTCCCTGTGGGCTTTTGTCTTTCTCTTCTGTCGTCTTACTCTTACTCTGTGGATTGCCGTGTAGCTGGGTGACTAGGTGACTGGCCCCTGACGTTCCCCTGGTCCTCATTTCTTCTGTTTAAACTCTCTCCCTGCCGGCCCCGCCCGTCCTCGCTCCTGCCTCGCTATTGGCCGTTCAGCTCTTTATTAGACCATCAGGTGTTTTAGATAGGCACAGCAACACAGCTCCACAGAGTTAAATGCAGCATAAACAAAAGTCACACACCTTAAAATAATATTCTACCACAGAGCCTAAGATTCACCAGTGAGGTGCCAGGGCCGGGGCCGGGTCTTCTGAGCCAAGCAGTGGCTTAGCATGTACACAGCCAAGCACACATGCCTATGGCATGCGCCTGTCTGCAGAGGTCCCCATGCACACACACATGCCTATGTGCCTGTCTGCAGAGATCCCCATGCACACACACATGCCTATGGCAGGCGCCTGTCTGCAGAGATCCCCATGCACACACACATGCCTATGGCAGGCGCCTGTCTGCAGAGATCCCCATGCACACACACATGCCTATGTGCCTGTCTGCAGAGATCCCCATGCACACACACATGCCTATGTGCCTGTCTGCAGAGATCCCCATGCACACACACATGCCTATGTGCCTGTCTGCAGAGATCCCCATGCACACACACATGCCTATGTGCCTGTCTGCAGAGATCCCCATGCACACACACATGCCTATGTGCCTGTCTGCAGAGATCCCCATGCACACACACATGCCTATGGCAGGCGCCTGTCTGCAGAGATCTCCATGCACACACACAGTGACCTGCTCCCAGTTGCATCTGGGCCCCCCTCCCTGCACACACCCTTCCCTGGACACACGCTCACATGGATGTACACACACATGTGCTGACCAGGACTATCCCCCGCCCTCTACTCCCTAGCTTCCCCGGAAAGCACTGCCAAGGCTGGGCTTGTTCTCTGTACCCAACTATATTTAGCTCAAGAGAACTCTCAGGCTGGAGTCCATGCGGTTTCCATGCCCTGCCTGGAAGTCCTGAAGAGTGGCTTCTGTGCAGCCACATGCTGAAGCTCCGACTTCTCTGCCCCAGGAGAGGTGCTGGTTGTCTGCCCATACCCCAAGCAGCTGGACAGGGTCAAAGATTTATTAGCATTAGCATTATTAACTGAAACCTGAGCAAGAACATTGTCAAACTGGACACGGTGCCTGTCAACCCAGACCTTGAGAAACTGAAGCAGGGCCAGGTGGTGGTGGCGCACGCCTTTATCCCAGCACTCGGGAGGCAGAGGCAAGTAGATCTCTGTGAGTTGGAGGCCAGCCTGGTCTACAGAGTGAGTTCCAGGACAGCTAGGGCTACATGGAGAGACCCTGTCTCCAGAAAAAAAAAAAAAAAAGAAAAAAGAAACTGAAGCAGGATACTGGCCAAGAGTTCCGGGCCTGCTACATACTGAGACTGTCTTAAAACAAAACAAAACAAAACAAAACAAACAAAACTCTCTGTCTGCAACAAAGAAACATAAAGTAACGCTACTGAGGATTCCTGAGTGACATCTGATACAACTCGGCAGCGCTGACAAGAGGACTCAGCTGGAAAAGATGGTTTCAGCCAAGGCTGACCCGACTGATGGCCTGTGATCAATCACAGGGTCACACATGGAGGGAAAACAGATTCCCATAAGTTTTCCCCTGACCTCTGCACGGACACTGTAACACATGCAAATTCACTCACACACACACACTTTTGCACATGTGCCTTCACGTGCAAAATGGCACGCACAGGCGGGAGGGTATCTTTAAGCAATAAAATATCTGAGCCTCTGAGACTGCTCGGTTGATAAACTTGCTGCCAAGCCTAAAGAACTCGGTTCAATCCCCGGACAGAACTGTCTCCTCCAGGTTGTCCTCTGACTGCATTGACAGCACTCAAAATATAATAAACGTAGAGGAGGCCGGGGCGAGGCTCAGAGCTCAGGAGGCCCTGTGGGCTGCCCCAGCAGCCTTCCCCGCGGCTGTCTACAGAGTTCCTCTCTCGATGGCTTCCCCAGGAAGCCCATACCGAGTAGGAAACGGAAGTGAAGCCTTCACGCTTGCCCCACCCACTGTGGGTAGCTAAATCCACGCCGGGTCACTGGCTCTACTGCCATCTGGAGACAGCAGGGCCTCTGCTTGAAGCTCAGAACAGACAGACAGACTTCAGCTGAATTACCATCAGGCCCAGCCTGGGCCTCGCCAGTCACAAGTCTCTGGACCTGTTTGATGAGTGAATGAGTGGACCTTTGGTGGCTGACGGAGAGACCGGGGGTAGGCCTGGGGAAACCGCAGACCCTGGTTCCATCCCCCACCACGTCCATCTTCCCCAGGAACCCTGTGTACTGTGGGCTGGGGATTGCTGGCCACTACCACCCCACCCGCAGGGGCGGACGGAGGCAGGCGCCGGGTGTTGGACCCTTGCTCTGAGCATCTGGGCGTGGAGACAGTCTGGCCCGTCCTCTGAGGGGTCGGTGGGGTCAAGGGTCGGCTTGGTCAGTGGGTTAGCAGGGTCAGGGGTCTGAGCGGCAGACTCATGTTCCTCTGTGCCTTCCAGCTCTCTGGACTCTGGGGTCCAGACTGATGGCTGATGATGTCAGCGACTAACAACGTCGCCCAGGCTCGGAAGCTGGTGGAGCAGCTGCGCATCGAAGCTGGGATCGAACGCATGAAGGTGAGCGGCCAGGGGCGGGAGACCCCAGAGAGCCCTCAGCTTAGGCTCCAGCTGTGCGGCCTTGGGACAGTCACTCAGGCTCTCTGAGCTTCTCAGCAGAAAGAGACAGCTGTTGCGTGTGGCCGAGAACCTTAAGATGTTCTGTTGGGGCCAGGGACTGGGTTGACCATGATGACTCTGCCCCTGGCTGGCGCTTTTTCTGTCTGTCACCCTCTTGCAAGCAGTGCAATGCCTTTCTCTTTGGTTACCACAGATGAGAGCAGGAGTCACGGAGGAACGGAGCAGAGTGGGGTCTAGCTGCTTCCAGTTTGGCCCGGTTCTCATTTCTTGCAATAAGACTGTTTGGTTTGTGTACTAAATTAAAAAAAAAAAGGCTGGGGGTGTAGTCGAGGATGGAGCCCTGCCTAGCATTCCCCAGTGAGAGGGGCTAGGGGTATGGTCAGAGTGGAACCCTGCCTGGAATCCCCTAGTGAGGGGATGGGGGCGTGGTCAGGGACAGAACACTCTCCTGGCATGCAGGTGCCTGAAGTTCCAAGCCCAGCACCACCATACATGGTGTTTAACAATCAACATGACCCCAGCACATCCATTCGCTCACCAGGAAGGGGCTCTGGGCCGCAGGCACTTTTGGCTGGGGATCACCGGAACCCTTTGGGAGGCCCTGGTGCTATGTGACCACAAATGGGCTTGATCCCAGGTGACCCCAGCCCTTGGGGCCAGGCGAGGCAGAAGACACCTCACAGGAGGCCTGTGGGCCCCAGCTGCAGGTTTCTGTGGACAGAGAACATTCCTTGGGGCGGAGCACAGAGCAAACCCCTGTTAAAGTGGGGTTTTGTCTGAGCTGGTGCCAGGCCCCGGCCTGAGGGGGGAGAGCGCTCTGTGATTCATCCTACCCTCTCTGAAGTCAGGAGGAGTACCCACCTCAGTCAATCCAGTCTGCGGGCGGCATGGGGTGTTATTAGCCTGGTCACCCTGGCAGGCGCTGGGGACTTCTATCCCTTCTTTAGTCACCATTATAGAGGCTTGAGGACTCTGTGGACGGGGACCTGAGGGTCCTGTGCCCACATTAGCTATTTTGAGGCCTCGCTGGCTATTCTTGGGGTCACAGAGGGTGATTTTCCAAGCAGAAGTCTACATCTGAGTGTACAAAGCCAGCAGCCAACAGTCTCTGAGTGACAATTTTCCCTGTGTGTGGGTGGGATCGTCTCCAGGGCTGGGCAGCTTGGCCAAACCAGGTTCCCAGTGTCCTCAACATCTCAAGACAACTGGGGGTTTCAAATAAGTGCCACGGACGGTGGATGTGTTGGTGAGTGCCTGTCATCCCCCCACCCCCACTGGGGACACAGATGAGCATCCCTTTCTGATCGATTTAACAAGAGTGAGACCTCACCTCCAAAACAAAGACAGTGCATTGCTTAGCAGAGTTTGCTTACAGCTCCGTGAGAAGAGTGAGTGTCCGTAGCTTAGTTGATGGAGCGCGTGTGCACAAGGCCCTCTGCAGACGTAGCTTAGTTGATGGAGCGCGTGTGCACAAGGCCCTCTGCAGACGTAGCTTAGTTGATAGAGCGTGTGTGCACAAGGCCCTCTGCAGACGTAGCTTAGTTGATGGAGCGCGTGTGCACAAGGCCCTCGGCCCTCTGCAGACATGTAGACATGCGGTGCTGGCCGTCACCATCCTCAGCTACATGAGACCGTTTCAGAAAAGCAGAACAACACCAAGGAGTGACCTGTGCAGAGGCAGATGGCCCCTCCTGGCCAGCACAGCCAGCAACCCCAATGGACTGGACGCCCAGCAGAGCAGGGGTGTGGCCAAGGAGTTACAGGAACCACCTTCCTGAAGAGGATGTCACCAGTGAGCTGAGGCTGGGGGATCAGGGAGACTCCAGAGAGTTGTGACAGAAAGATGCTTCTCAGCAGAGTCCAGGTCACCCTCATGGGGACCCCAGGGGCCAGCTGGGGTGTGACACCTGCTACTGACCAGGTCTGATGACAGGCAGGCCTTTTCCTAGGAGCTCCTATCTGGGGTGGGGTGGGAGAGGATCTAATGGGGAGGGACTCCAGCCACTGCTGGCTTAAGTGCTAGCGACTTGAGATGAACTTGGCAAGACCACCGCTCATCTTTTTGTTTCTTTTGCATTTTGGTGATGGAGCCCAGAGGTTCATGTGAACATGGAGCTTTAGACCTCTAAGCCTGTGTCCCCAGCCCCTCACTGGGGATTCCAGGCTGGGGCTCCACCTCTGACCACGCCCTCAGTCCCTCACTGGGGGATTGTAGGTGAAAGCTCCATCCCTGGCCACACCCCTGACCACACCCCTGGCCCCTGTGAGTGGAATTTTGTGTGACAGTGCCTTCATATATTACCTGTCTGCTTTCAGGACCGCTCAAAGCCTGTTTGGGGAGCCATCCTCCTTATCCCAACTCCATTCCCTAACAACAGTGTGCCCACTTCCTGTCTCTGGGTTCACTTGTTCCAGAAATATCTTACCATGGAGCCCACCCTGCCTGGTTTTTCGTGTCTGATTCTCTCACTGAGCACAATGGCTTTCAAATCCCTCCATATTGTCGCCCGAGTGAGAGTTTTATTCCTCTTTGTGGCTGTGTAATATTCCCCAGCATGAGTTGCAGAGTGTGCGTGGCCACCATCGTCTGGGCTCTCGCTGCCCTGGTGGCCGCTGTAGACATCTCTCCCGCCTGACCTTCCGTTTCTCTTTGTGCCACACAGGTTTCCAAAGCCTCATCAGAGCTGATGAGCTACTGTGAGCAGCACGCCAGGAACGATCCCCTGCTGGTCGGTGTGCCAGCCTCTGAGAATCCATTCAAGGACAAAAAGCCTTGCATAATTCTCTAGCAGGCTCGCTCTCTCTCTCTCTCTCTCTCTCTCTCTCTCTCTCTCTCTCTCTCTCTCTCTCTCTCTCTCATCTCCCCACCCTCCCCCTCTTGTCCAACTTTTACTGTGAGAAAATACCTGATTTCCTCTCACTCTGCATCTAAAGGAACAGGAACCATTGTGAAAGCAGATCCTATGGATGAAGGTGGAGTTTGTGTCCCCGACCCCACCGTGGGCCTCTGACTGCCAATATATTAGCCCCCCCCTCCTGTCAAGAATCACTGGGGACCTGAGAGATGTAACTGTCTTTAAAGCTGCCTTATTTGGCTCAGCGGGTGAGGTGCATACCTTGCAATCATGAGGACCTGAGTTCTGCCCCCACATAAAAAGCCCCGGTGCATGTCTGTACCCCAGAACTCGAGAGGCCAGAGGAGGGATCCCTAAGGCTTGAGGGACAGCCAGCCTAGCCGTCTCTGAACTCCAGTGAGGGTCCCTGCCTCAGAGCTGGAGGAAAAGAGCTGGCATCGACCTGTGCCGCCACCCCCGACACACACAATGCGCCTCGTGCTGCCCCTGCCCCTCCCGGGTGTGGCCCTGTCATGCACACAGTGATGCCCTTTCTCTGGGACACGGCCCATTTCAGAAACAGACATCCAGGTCTCCGCACAGAGCGAGCAGTTGCTGGTATGGCCGCATGTGTGATTTTGTCTCCTATTTGGTCACTGGCGGCTCCCCGTTTCCTCCCCGTTTCCCCAGTTACCAAGGTTGTGTGACAGCAGCGATGCAGGTTTGATTATCTTGAAGTGATTGAGAAAGAGTCACAGAGATGCTGTCCTGCATCCTACATGATGATGGTGACCGTGATTCCGGATCTCCCTTACCCCTCCCTGGATCAAATCAAATCACTGCCCAAGTCGCTGGACCACAGGCCCTCAGTGTGAGGACCGCAGACCAGCTCTCCACTGCATCTGTACTGAAAGATTCCAGGCACCTATACCACACCCCACCCATTTACTGCAGGGATTCTAGGCGGGGCTCCACTCCAGACCACACCCCTGACCCCTCACTGGGGGATTTTAGGCAGGGGCTCCACCCTGACCACGCCCACAGCCCCTCACTGGGGAATTCTAGGCAGGGGCTCCACCCCTGAGCCGGGGCCTCCACTCTTCCTAGTTTGTGAGAAGAGCATGTTGTCCAGGCTGGCCCGGAACTGGAGATCTTCCTGCCTCTGCCTCCAGAGTACCTGCATGACAGGCCTCTGCTTCCCTGCCTGGCCTAGGGCTGGGTTTGAAGACAACCCGGCCTCTGAGCTTTACAGTGACAGCGGCAGGCAGCAGGGGGAAGAGGCTTGGGCTGTGCCGGTGTGGGCTGCAGCCACATCTCACAGGCACCCTGAGCATCAGGATGGTGGTGGATTCAAGAGTGCCCCAGTGCCTCGAACAGCAGAAGTGAAGCCAGTCCGGTTATGTCCCGAGGCCCTGGTGGACATCAGCTTCCAAGAGCCTGTGCCAGGCTGGTTCCTGGACAGTTGCCCAGGTTGCCCATGGCGAAAGTGAATGGGGCTCACACACCCCACCTCACCGCCCGGTCCTCCAGGCACAACCTACCTCCTAGTCAAGGTAGCAGGGCCTCCAACTCATTCTGATAGGGCCACATCTGCTGTGAGAATAAGGGGAGGCATTGCGGGTGCTAAGAGGAGCCCCTGCTCCCCCTTTCCTGGGCTGGCTCCCAGAGGACACACTAAAGGTCAGACCCCCACATTACTGGTCAAGGAGGGTGAGGTACTTTGGGGAGCTTGACTCCCCAAACCTGTGTTGGAATCACAAAAGCCGCTGTGTACCCCCAAAATTACAGCCACCTTGCTTTAAGGTAGGAACTGGAGCCCCAGGGTATGCGTATGTACCCAGGCTCGCTGGCAAGGAGAGAGGGTAGCGTGTGCTGGGATTGGGTGGTCCTCAGTGTTCCAGACACCCAGGGTTCCATCCCTAGCTCACAGAAGCCAGGCATGGGCACACTGGGGAGGTGGAGGCAGGAGGATCAGGACTTCACCGTCATCCTCTGCTACATAATGGGTTCAAGGCTAGCTTGGGCTATAGGAGACCCTGTCTCAAAAAGAGAGAATCCAGCGCACTCTCCCATCATCCCAGCCACGCGTCTCCCTCAGGTGAGGTTGCCAGCAGCAGATGCCGTGGCGAGTCCATGATTAGTGACAGCACCTTCTCATTCCTCCACCTTGGGAAAAACTCAAATCTATGCCCCAAAGAACCTCCAACCACCCCTCCTCAGATGATCCACAGGCCAAGGGCAGAGTGACCTCTTGTTCCCCAGGAAGGTGGAATGTGCTCAGCCAGTGTTTCCAGGGTGGGTCTTCAGCCCCAGAATAGTCCCTTGTCCTATCCCAACCACCAGAGCCCTGCCTCAGCTTGGAGAACCCAGGCCACAACAGAGCAATCAGGAGCAGGGCGGTGGTGGCGCAGCCTTTAGCCCCAACACTCAGGGAGGCAGAGGCACGCAGGTATCTGAGTTTGAGGCCAGCCTGGGCTACAGAGCGAGGTCCAGGACAGCCTGTTGTAAATAGTAAATTCCAGGACGTTCAATGCTATAGAGACATGGAAGAGGAGAGGAGAGTGAGGTCTGCCCCTGCCTGAGTGACTAAGGAGGGACTTCCAACCCCAGGAGAAGCTGCCAAACCCTCCCTTGTCCTCTCTGAGTGTCTTGGACACAATGGCCGGACAACACGGTGTCACACAGCGCTCTCTGTCCCCTGTGCCCCACTCCAGGCTCTGGTCCCTCCCATCTGCATTGTGACACTGGTTGGTTTTTATTCCTGATTTAAAATCTCTGTTGTGGCACACCCACTCTCTGACAGTGTTTAATACTCGTGTGGAATGAGGATCACGATGGAGTGAATCCTCCATAATAAAGGCTCAGTCTTCCTCTGACCTCAACTCTAAACTCTGTTTCTCTCCCTGGCCAGGACAGCTCAGGTGATGTGAAGGACAGTAGCCAGCCTCCCTCCTCCTCCCCCACCCCCACCCCCTCTCCCTCCTCCTCCTCCTCCCCCTCCCCTCCCCCTCCCCTCCTCTCTCCCCCTCCTTCAGGGGTTCCATCCACAAGGCCTAGGATGAGGGAGGAGTGAGTGTCAGTGGATGACACATCTGCACATGGAAGTGTTTCATTTGAGACAAAGGTCTCAGGTAAATCAGGCTGGCCCCCAAACTCATTGTACAGCAAGGGCTAACCTTGAACTCCTGACCCACAGGTGTGGCTGCCATGCCTGGTCCATGCAGTGCTAGGGATGGGAGTCAGGGTGAGTGCTCCACCCCACCCACTGAGCTCCGCCCCAGCTCAGGACACCCCATCCCAGCCCTGCAGAAAATAAAAGCCCTCTTAGTCCCAAACCGTTGTGGGGTCAGAGGTTGGACCCAGGCATCCCGGGCTGCAGTGCACTTCCGGGGACGCCCCCACTCTCCACTCCGCTCCATCACAGCATCTAGAGGGCCTGCATCCCTAGGCTTGTGCCCCGTCCTCCTCCTTCAAGCCAGCAGTGCAGTGTCTCCCACCCAGTCGCTCACCCTTTCCTCCTTCCGAGGACCTGATGGGTGGCACCAAGCCCCGGATGACCCAGGATGACCCCCAGGTCAGGGCCCTCAGCTTGACCCATCTGCAGAGTTTCTCTGCTCTGAGAGATGAGATGAGCTGTCCCAGGCCTGGGCATGTAAATGAGATGGTCTTTGGGGCTGGTAGGCAGCAGCCTGCAGTCTGGCTTCGGTGGGAGCCTAGCGCGCGCATTTACCTGCTGTTGTTCGCATTCGGCCTTCCGACCCAAGGCCCGGGGTGAACGTGGGACAGTGAGGTCTGGCGGCGGCGGGGATGCGTTGTTGGCTCTACCGCTTGAAGTGGACCGTGGTTGCCTCTGAGGGACCATAGCCTTATAGACTCACCTGGGCAGCACTCAGGGTCCAGCCCAGGAGGAGAGATGCCTTGGCTCCCACTCTGCTCCCTGTGCAGACGTTGCACTGCGTGACCTCAGCCCCGCCCCGCCCCCGTGCCCGCCCCCGCCCCGCCCCCAGCCACCTTCTAGGCCCATTTAGGTGGACTAGAATTGCAGGAAGCTTAAAAAGGGAGGAGTGGAAGCCGGGGAGGCTCAGGACAAAAGAGACCAGGTCACATTTCCAGGGGCGTCTGAGACAATGGCAGCCGCATCCCTGAGCCAAGAGAACACGCTGGTGAGTCACAGGCCACACCCAGGAGCTCTACTGTCTCATTCTCCCTCCAAATCAGCTTCTCAGAGACACTAGCCAGGGCTCCAAAGGGCTTCGCTTAAGCTTTCCCATGACAGAGGGGGCCAGAGCCACATGAAAGAAGAAAACACAGAGGCAGCACTTGGGAGTCTGGGTTAGGCAGATCTGGGGTCCAAGGCTAGCCTGGGCTATAGAACAGGACCCTGGTGGTGGAGAAATGGCTTATTGGCTGCTCTTGCAGGACCCAGGTTTGATTCTTAGCACCACATGGCCACAAACAACCATCTGAAATGCCAAGCCTAGGAGGATCTGATGCCATCTTCTGGCCACTGTGGGCACTGCATGCACATACATACATACATACATACATACATACATACATATGAAACACCCATGCACATGAAATGAATAAACAAAATTGAGTAAGGCAGTTGGTGGCGCACGCCTTTAATCCCAGCACTTGAGAGGCAGGGTCAGGCAGATCTCTGTGAGTTCAAGGACAGCCTGGGCTACACAGAGAAACACTGTCTTGTCTTGCAGTGAGATTCCTACATCAAGAACAAACAAATCAACAAATGGTCAGGGCTGGAGAGATGCCTGAGATATTACGGTCACTTGATGGTCTTTCAGAAGACCTGGGTTCAGTTCCCGGCATCCATGTGATGGCTCACCACTGCCTATGATGCCGGCTCCAGGGGACCAGATGCCCCCTTCTGGTCTCTGTGTGTACTGCACTCACATGTGCATACACACAGACATACATGTACTGCTCATAACTAAAAGCAACATAAATCTCTCTTTAAAAAAAAGGAATGTTCTGAGCGGCTCTGGTCCTAAGATACACAAGCTGGAAACATCTCAGGCATTCAACCATAGGTGAGCAGAGAAAGAAAACAACATATTCATACCATAGGTGCGACTCAGCCATGGGTGACTCAGGGACACTTTGTGCTAAGTGAAACAAACTTCACAGGGTTGAACAGCGGGAGTCTACAGACAGCAGGCAATCATCAGGCGGCGTCCCAAAGACACCCACATCTTAATAGGAGAGCCCGAAGCTTGGCAGCCTTATATAGAACCAAAGAACCTGACTGGAGGATCTTTGAGCATTCTAGATCATTCAGGGCACTAGTGGCACACACACACACACACACGTGAGACACACACACGTGAGACACACACACAGAGACACATACATACACACACAGACACACACGAGACATACACACAGAGACACATACATACACACACACAGTCACACACACAGACCCACACACACAGTAGACACACACATATACACATAGACACATACACACACAGATGTACACACACAAACACACACACATACAGAGTAAGAGAGAGAGACAGAGAGAGAGAAATGTCTATCACCCAGACAAGACACAGATAGACCAAAGACAGATTCCATTCAGAAAGCTTTGTAAACCAATGAAGCTTCAAAAATATTTTTTTTTTGTTTTTCAAGACAAGGTTTCTCGCCAGGCATTGGTGGCGCACACCTTTAATCCCAGCACTCGGGAAGCAGAGGCAGGCAGATCTCTGTGAGTTCGAGACCAGCCTGGTCTACAGAGCTAGTTCCAGGACAGCCTCCAAAACAATACAGAGAAACCCTGTCTTGAAAAAAAACCAAAAAAAAAAAAAAAAAAAAAAAAGACAAGGTTTCTCTGTGGAACAGCCTTAGCTGTCCTGGAACTCCCTCTGTAGACCAGGCTGGCCTCGAACTCACAGAGATCCACCTGCCTCTGCCTCCTGAGTGCTGGTATTAAAGGGGTGCGCCACCACCACCTGGCTTGAATTTTTAAGAAATTATTTTCCTGAAGGCATTTTGTTTGTTTGTGTGTTTGTTTTGAGACAGGCCTGTCTGTCTAGCCCTGGCTGTCCTGGGACTTTGTACTGTGCAGCTCGTGGTGATCCTCCTGCTCCTGCAGTGTGAGGGTGCCAGGCATGTACCACTGAGCAGCCCCACACCAGGTACATGGCCAGTTCATGGATGGCTGTGTCACCAGAGTTCCCAACCTCAAGGCGATAGTGTGCCTCTTGTGTACTTGAACCGTGCACACCAAGAGAGGGGAGACCCACACGGAGGGTGAAGAACTCAGCTGGGTCAGTGGTTGCGTGCAGGCATAAGGACCTGAGCACCCAAGCGGAAAACCAGACAGAGTGACCCACGCTGTACCCCAGCACTGGGGGTGGAGAGAAGGGAAAGTCCTGGGGCTCACTGGTCAGCCAGTCTAGCCCAATCAGTGAGAGACGCTGTCGTGTCTCTGTGAGAGACCCTGTCTCCAAACGCAAGGCGGAGAGACTGAAGGACACAGGCGATGTCGCCCACATACAAACACACCAAGGCAGGTTGAGCTATGAGCCATGCTGGGTGCCACTGAGAACAGCAGCCCCACACCAGCGGAGTAAGGCAGCCCCCAGAATAAGTAAAACTCCCCCCAAACCTAGTAAGATCCATTAGTTATCAAGTTGTGTCCTAGAAGGCTGAGAGGGAATGGAGGTCACCTTCCCAAGCTGGCTTTCCAGGCCCACACATATTTCCTCTCAGGGAGAGCAGGGCGGGCTCCTAAGACTTAGAGGGAACATTACAAAAAATTGCACGCCGGGCGGTGGTGGCGCACGCCTTTAATCCCAGCACTCGGGAGGCAGAGGCAGGCGGATCTCTGTGAGTTCGAGGCCAGGCTGGACCAACAGCCTCCAAAACAATACAGAGAAACCCTGTCTCGTAAAACCAAAAAACAAAACAAAACAAAAAACAAAACTTTGAAACCAGTCCTCATTTTGGCTGGCTGACCCCAAACTCACTAGTCGACCATGTGCCCTGGAATTCACAGAGATCTGCCTGCTTCTGTCCCCCACAAGCTGGGATTAAAGTCATGTGACACTAATAAACATTTTTTTCACAAATAAATAAATGTAGTAAAAGTGCTTTTAAGGAAACAGGTTCCTAGGGTCAGTCAATACTAAGTCCCTTGACCCTGATAAAGACTTCCCCACACAGCAGGCGGTCGTGACGATCTTTTCTTTGTCAACTGGACGCTACTATCTAGGATCGCCCCGGAAGTGATCTCATTGAGGAATTGTCTAGCTCAGGCCACCTGTGGGTGTGTCCCTGAGGGATGCTGGAGATTACATTAAGTGATGTGGGGAGCCCCAGCCTACCTCGGGCAGCCCCATCCCCTATGCAGGCACCCCTTGTTCTCAGCTTCCTGTTGCCCTGAGAGCCCTGCAGTGATGGACTGGGACTGGAAGCCAGAACCGGAACCAAGCAAACCCTCTCTCTGTGCGTCGCCTTTCCTCTGGGTCCTTTATCACAGTAGCAGAAAGGACATTAATACACAGGCTGCTGAGAGATGAGAAAAAAAGCGTCCTTCCCAGGGAAGGGCAGGGTGGTGTGGGGCCCTAACCTTCGAGCCAGCTGGGTTTGCTGTGAAAGAATGGCGGGTGCTCACTGGCTGACGGCCTGAGAATGCACCCACTCACTTTCGCCAGAATTTATCTCTCTGGGAAGAACTCCAACTTTAAGGTGGGAAAGAAACTCTTCCCCTGTTCATGTCAGACTACACCAGGCCAGCCAGCATGTGTGTGTGTGTGTGTGTGTGTGTGTGTGTGTGTGTGTGGGCAGCCGACAGGTATCAGGGGTCAGAATTCATCTGTCCTTACCTGCAGCCACCATGACC